TGGTGCATGCTTGTTCTTGTGGCAAGATAGGCTTGCCTGACACTGCATACCAGGGCCCTTTTTCCTGATCAAAGTGGTTATCAGAGTCCCTTGAGATCATTGCTACGTCCTCAGCAGAGTATTTAAACTTGGGCTTTTCTAGCTTAGGGACGTTAACTAACAGAATAGACGTGGACCCATGGGCTGCCACCCTTGCTTCAGAATGGGCCAAGTTGTTTCCTTTGGCGATGGGGGAATTCTCTTTCTGGTGGCCCGGGCAGTGTATGATACTCACTTTTAGTGGTCAGTGAAGGGTCTCCAACAGGGCTACGATCTCTGCCTTGTTTTTGATTTTTTTTCCTCCTGAGGTTAGCAGACCCCGTTGTTGATAGATAGCACTGTGCACATGGGCAGTGGCAAAGGCATACCTGCTGTCTGTGTAGATGTTGATTCCTTTGCCCTCTCCTAGTTCAAGGGCTTTTGTGAGGATGATGAGTTCTCCCTTCTGAGCGGACGTTCCTGCAGGTAAGGCCTGTGCCCATATCAGGTTCTGGCCATCTACTATAGCAGCTCCTGCTTTCTGTACTCCTTCCTTCAGGAAACTGCTGCCATCAGTAAACCAGGTGGCTTCGGCATCCGTCAGAGGCTGATCTGCCCTGACAAGTCTTTCCGCCATCCATGTGCCTCAGCCAGCACTTGTTGGCAGTCATGGACAGGAGGGTCAAGGTCCGGGTCCGGTAACAATGTGGCTGGATTTAAGCTCACCGGGGGAGCAAAAGTAATCCAATCTGAATTCAGTAACAGAGTCTGATAGTGAGTCATGCGAGCATTTGTGAGCCAGCGGTCGAAGGGGCTGGTGAACAATACTTTCTAAGGCATGAGGTGCCAAGATTACCAAACTTTGTCCCATAGTCAACTTGTCAGCATTTTTTACCAGAACTGCTACTGCTGCTATGATCCTTAGACAAGCTGGCCACCCCAAGGCTACTGGGTTTAGTTTTTTAGACAGATATGCTACAGGCCTTTTCCAGGGCTCCAGTTTTGGTATTTTTTTCCTTGTAGTACGCACATTGATTCTTTGCCAGGGGTCCCTTCCTGTTGCCCAGTACTGTCTTACTGGGCTCCCTAGTTTCCCTGACTACAGTGGCCAGAATTTTGTGAAAATTACTTTCTTGGTGCTTTTCTCTCTTTATTTTTTAGCCTCCTGCATTTTCTGCTTTCTCACTTCTTTTTTTTTTTTTTTTGACTTTCTATTATGATAAACCTTTTTAGCCACCTGCACTAATTCCCTCAATGACTTATCTTGTAACCCTTCAAGCTTCTGCAGTTTTTACTGATGTCTTTACTAGACTGGTTAATAAAAGCAACTGTCACTGTAGCTTTGTGCTCTTTACTACTAGGATCATACGGGGTAAACTGACGGAATGCCTCCATGAGTCTCTCCAGAAATGCTGATGGAGACTCATTGGGCCCCTGGATTACCCCTCTTACCTAAGTCAAATTGTTGGGGCGTTTTGCTGCCCCTCAGAGACCTGCCATTAGAGCCTGGCGATAGACCTTCAGGTACTCCCTACCTTCTGCCGAGTTGAAATTCCAGTTTGGTCTGGTCAATGGGAATCCTACATCTATAACATCAGGGAGGAGGGTAGGTCGCCCATCGTCTCCTGGAATGTTCTTTCGAGCCTCCAGGAGGATTCATTGTTTCTCCTTGGTGGTGAACAGGACCTGGAGGAGCTGCTGGCAGTCATCCCAGGCGGGCTGGTGGGTATAAAAGACAGACTCCAAAGAGAAGTTAGGTCTTGTGGCTCATTAGAGAAAGAGGGATTCTGGTTTTTCCAATTATATAAGTCACTTGTGGTAAAGGGAATATAGACCATAAAGGGTTCTTGGGCACTGGGGCCTGGCGTAAGGGCAAAAGGGGGGCAGGAGACGTGAGCTACGAGGGGTCTGTGTTTGTGAGTCAGGTACAAGGTCTTGCCAAGGCCTCATCTGGTTTCTGTATTCATCTTCACTGTTATCTCAGGACCCTGCAACATTTTGATTTGTGCCAGTGTACTTGGCTAGTGCCCAAGGTCAGCTTCCAGTTGTCTGGCCTTGATCATTTCTTAAAATTTTACAAAACTCAAAGAAAGAACTGTTAGCTTTGCAAAGTACTAATTAGCTTCTCAGCCTTGTTTTTCTACTTAGTAAGTGAGTAGAAAAGTCAGGGGATGGGAAGCAAGAGTAGAGAGAGAAAAAAAACTGTCCTTAAAAAAATCGTCCCCTCCCCTGTAGCCCAGGCTACTTTAGGTCCCAAAATGGCTTCAGTCCTGCTCACTCCAATAATTTCTCATTGTCAATAGTTCTTTCCACGTTTATGGAGTGGGCCGCCGACTCATCTGACTGCTTCAAGCTGTTTTTAGGGCGCAGTAGGGGTTAGTGTGGAATGGAACTATTTGACATGATGGAGGACGTAGCTCTTGTTACCCAGCTGGAGTGGCGCGGAGGATCAAGGGCATTTGTTTATCTATTGTCTTAACAGTTGATTCACAACAGGTGGCTTACTCAGAGTTAGCAAGCTATACATTAATTGGTACATCAAGAATTTTAAGAACTTACATGAATCCTTTGTTTAGGAGCAGGATGTCTCATCCAAGTCATGAGTCTCTTCCTTCAAGTTTATGAAACTTTAGAGAACTGCTTGTGTAGACAAGACATCATTTCCCCTTTTTTGATCAAAACATTCCCCATGGAAGCATTGAAGATCAATTTTCTGATTAAAAAGGTTTTACTTTTCTTTGTATGGATGACTCAGTGCTGGGAAGACTTATTCCCAGGTAGACATGTTATTTTATAATTAACCTTTTTAATTGTCTACTGTTATATAAAGAGAGTAAATTTTTATTATATTTATTTAAATAACCATATTACCATAAAAATCAGAAGGATACTCACAAATAGTTTTTAAATTTTGGAGGAATCAAAGAGGAAAAAGGCAAACATGTTTATCTTTGTTTATAAAGTATATTTTACCAAATTGCTGTAAGTTATAGATAGCTTAGAGAAAAAGTTTTCTTAAATCTGGAAAACAAAACATTTAAGTAAGGAACAAATAATGAAAGTTACAAAACATTTTTATCAGTTACTTAACTTTGTATACTTAATTTTTGCTTTGTTTGATCTTAATTAGTAGTTTTATAAACTTATTAGATTTCTTACTAGAGTTTTGAAAACCTTTTATTTTGTCCATAGCTTTCTTTATATCGCCTCTTTTCCTGCATACTGATTTCCTTTTTTACCAACAATAATAAATTAACCTTATTTATCTAAAAATCCCATGATCAAAAATCGTTCTGTTTTAGGCTGGGCTTATAAGTTTAACCTTAAAACCTTTACCAAAGACAAATGTAATCCTGTTTGACCAGTAAACCCAAGCAGATAATTCCAAAAACATTTCTTATAGCAGTGTGATTTTCAAAAAAACTTTTTTCCCTTTTTTTTTTTTTTTTTTTTTAGTTTGTTTACAGTTAGCTAGAACTGGCTGAGTTGTACAAGAAAAACAGAATCTCCAAGTGGCCTTGATTTTTTTTTTTAACAGGTTTTTCTTTATCTTGGCTGAAATGCCATAGACAGTGAGTTTTTCTTATAACACTTCCAGAACTCTGTGCACAGACAAACAAATTTTGTCCAGAGACTTAGCTAATTACAGTGTTCAGTTTTTCAAGCTTGCCAGGAGAAACTGAGAAAAAATAATTTATTTCAGTCAGCAGGTCTTTAATGACCAAAAGACACAAACTTAGTTACTCAAACACAAACAGACAGACAAATTATGAGCCCTGGCCTTCACGTCAGTCCAGTATTTCAGAGTCAGATTTAAAGGGGTAGAAACAGTCTGCCCCATGTTGCCCCAGAAAGTCGTCAGTCCCCACACACACGCAACCAGACAAACAAAAACCAAAACACTGAGGCGCCCCAGCCACGGGCGCCACAACCAGATTATCAGAGAATTCGGGAGGGGTCTCCTTCCTAGAGGTCTCCCATGGAGCTGAACCTGTTCGTCTCCAACAGAGGAATCTGGAGCGTCCTCCAGGATTCCTGTGGCCGCAAAGTGCCTGTACGTCTACCCACCGCTGTGACCACTACAGACCGATGGGTTCGCCTTGGAGCCTCCAAAAAACTGAAACCAGACCGGCGACTCCGTCCCGGAGCCACCGAAAAGCTGAAACCAGATTACAGTAGACAACAAAGACACGAAGACAGACACAGCAGACAGACAGACAACCACGGTACCTGCTCGAGTGAGCAATCCTCCGTTCTCTAGCCTCTGGTCCCAGAGAGAGCCGTTTCCCAGCCAACGCACCAAAAATGTAAGATCCATGCATCATGCACAAATCCCACACTTCGGGATGGCTCACTTCACAAAGACCACGAGACAGAGACCGTTGCAATCAAGCAAGAGGAGTTTATTCCAGCATGCTGGGTGCCTGTGTTTATAGCTCGAACCTTTCTTTGGTCAGGATTGTTCAATCTTACCCAAACATGGCCATACTAGGGATTCATATCTGGGTGAGTTTAACTAATGAAAGACAGGAAAAATACCGCAGCTAAGATTATGACTTTGCTCCTAACGTGGGTAAATTAAATATCCTCAGCCTTGCAATCTTTCAATCATAGTTATCCAGTGTGTAAATGCATACCTTTGGCCACTGCTAGACATAAAACCCAAATTCCAACACGGATAGCTTGTCACAAATCATGACTGCTACGGCACACTATTTTTTTTTTTAGAATTTATTATTGTTAAACTACCTGAGAAAACAGATAAATCATTCCATTTACTTTAAGAGAAGAATTACTGATGTGGTGTTAAAAATTTACTTTATGCAGTGCGAGTCATGTATTAGATTCTATTTGTTTTATGATCAAGTGAATAAATGAATGAATCACAAGTGTGTCTCGTGTATTCTTCACACACAGAATCAGATTCAAATCTGATTGTTTAGCACCAACTAAATGACAGGTTGGGTTTTTCAGACATTTACCTGAAAAGAGTCTGCACGTTCACAATTGTTTTGGCGTCCGCCATGTAGTCTTCCTCAGCACTCATGGTGCTTTCTTTGTCCACAACCACCATGTTGGCAGCAAAAGTCACTCCACACCTGAGTAAATCATCTAGGCTTTGGTAAAAATTGACAAAGAAAAATGGACTTTAAATAAAACCATAAAGTTAGAATCAGTGCTAAGACTTGCTTACCCTCTGTGCTTATATAAGTTGCTCTTACAGGAGGCTTTAACAGAGTGTGCACAGGTAGATATTAATGGGAATTATGGTATAATATTATCTACTGATATAAAATATTATTTGGGGTTCTTTACATTTTGTTAGATCTCAACTGTTTCAAGGCATGTGTGTTAAGAATCCTTACTTAATAATATTTATTAATTATATAAATGAAACATGAAAAACACCCATTTTGCAATCAAATCGAAGTAGAACAAGATACAACTTTATTTTTATAGTTAACAAACAGCTTCAAAGACATGTTTACATTTTTTTATTTCTAAGTTGCTTTTGGTACAAGTAGAAATGAAAATTTCTGTATTAATGGAGATGGTCAAGCCTAAAGAAAAAAATATAAAACTATAAAATGTTTATTTTTAAGTGTCTATTGTTTCTTTATTTAAAAGCTACGTGTTATAAATTGGTTCTACACAGACAAGAGCATGTGAGATATAAAGATATCTGCTGTATTCAAGCCTACCGTTAACTCAAGTTTTGAGCAAGTTCTTAAACAATATGATTTCTCTGACTGCACAAAGTGATTGCTAAACTAGGATACAAACACCTGTGAGCTATAATTGAGTCAGTCTTCTCTCCTATCACTGATAAAAACCTTATGTAGCATTATCCAAATGAACTAAAAGAAAATGTTTACTATTAAACCTGAAATAGGGAAATCATTACTCTCATTGCCTCTGCTTCATACAAACTAGAAAAATACGACTGAAGTGGATAATAAACTTAAATGAGTTCAAGAATGTTCTAAGTACAGAGTTGACTGGAGACAGATAAGAAGAGAAAGGTTAATTGATTTCCATCTCTTCTGATTTAAAACAGCAAGTTTAAAACTTAAAATACAGCAGTTCCTTTCACATTCTTCAACTGAAGAGTCAGGCTCCAGAGGATCTTTTCTAAGCACATGTTTGGTCGAATTAGCCATGGTTAAAGGGAATTATTTTCCTTTTATGGAAAGGCAGCAGGCAGGATTTCTTACCCTGTTATTAGTTGAGAGAGTGTTACCAAAGCCTTGAGTCCAAGATCCCCAGGAGAAGTCCAGAAAAAAATATTTCACTTGAATCAGGAACAATGTTCTCTACCAGAGATTTTATGGCTAAAACTGTGGAAGCAGAATGTTATTCCAAATAAATTTCCTATGGTAAAAGGGGCCAGGACCATAACATCTAACCAATATGATGACTGTGAAATTTGAATCCCTAGGCATACTTAGGACTTCCTTTCATCTAAGAACTTCATCAAAGTGTAGTTTATTCAAATGCATTTTCAAAAGAAAGTTAGATGAAAAATGAATGTGCTATGGTCCCTCATGTAGCATCAAAATGATACTTGAGTCATATATCTTCAAATCACCTTATAATAATTTTAAAACACTTTCTCATATTTCAGCTCTGACTATCTTTTTTCCCTCCATAAAAAAAAAAAAAACTCAAAAAACCAAAAACCTCTATTATAATTATCTATGTAGGAAAAGGGAAATATAAGGGAGTAGAAGGTGAGACTGACTGAATAAGGATATGCAGATAGAAGTTAAAATAGGAAAGATGAATATTTAATCAGCAATCATCTAATGAAGTCGAAGTTAATACTAGACAAAAATTTCACTTTGAGAGTACCTGTACTAAAGAGCTAACATCTAGATATACCCATACGTATCAGTTAATTCCATCTTCAAAATATCGGCTGTTATAGTTTACATATAACCTTAGAAAATATTTTAATAGTTATCATTATATATGAGTTTAAATCTATAGAAAATACATAAAATTGGAATATCTCTGAAACATGTAGGGTTTTTGTTCTTCATATTTTAATGTTAAGTTATTCTTTTTCTATTTACTTGATGTTACATTAATTCCTTTTTTCTTTTTGAGTAGGCCAACTAATTCTCATAGCTCGTGTCTACTGTAATTTTCCCCCACTACCCTATTAACTAGGCCATTGCCTTAGTTTTTCTTCAGCATGCTTGCTTTACAAAGTTCGGCCACTAGATGGCGGCCGAAGAAAGTCAATCAGGATGAAAAAGAAAGTTACAAGCTAATGGGCTACGTCTCTCTTTCCACCCTTTTCGAAGACCCCTTTTTCCAAGGACTAGAGTATGAAATGTACAAGTGTGAGGGAGAATCTGTCTGTAATTGCGTTTTAATTTCATTCAGAGAGGTTTTTTCCCCTCTTAAGGAAGATCTCAAGCATAAGCAAAAAAGTATTGTATACAGTGGACCTCCATGTACCCATTACCAACTTCAGTAATTATCAATTTGTAATTGATAATTGATGGCCAATATTGTTTCATCTTTGTTCCTAGAAATTTTATGTTCTCTGTTCTTTTCCTCACCATAAATACTTTTGTAGAAGAATTCACTTCACTGTTGACATCAGAAAAAAGAGATGGGAGTTTTATTTTTTGTCTTTTAAATACACTGTTTTTCTAATGAATTTTAATAGAACACTATCATTTCAAAGTAACATTACTGGCTACAAAATATGTGTAGAATTTAATTGGTAATTTTAGTACATCTAACTACATTTTAGTTAGTTGGCTAGTAACATGGTAACTGATAATGTAAATTTATTAATGTAGAATGGAGGCTAAAAATATTTTAGTCTGGTTGACCTTTAATGTATTCACAGCTAATAAACACTTTGAAAAACAACTTTGTTCTTTCAAGATCTTCAGGATGAAATGTAAACATTAAAGTTCCCAGTTGGCAAGGTTTAGCATTTTATTTTAAAGGCCCTGGCTGACAGTTTTTAAAAAATGAAAACATAGAATATTTTATATTATTTCAAGTATATGAGCTTTCTGATCTTTTTTTTCCGTATTTTATAATGTCACCATGATGCACATGTAAGAATTTATATTTGGGAACTAATGCATTACACACATATGACCTTTTAATTAACAAATATTTTAGAAATTATAGACTCTGACACATGACTAGAATAAAGTAAACTCCTAAGGGAATTCTTTAATTTATAAATCTAAGTCAAAATGAGCATTTTAAAATTATTTTGAAGGTTCCCAGAAGTTATGGTAATGATATCAATGTATCACAATGTTGAGTCTTTAGCTTTTCTCTACCACTATGTGAAAGACCATGATGTTTTCTTTTATTTGTTTGACTTTCATTTCTTTTCTTGCCCA